TTTGGCAAGTGAAAAAAACAAAAACAAAAAATTCAAAACAACAAAAAAAAGTATTTCGCTTTGAAAGCGCGTCGAATATAAAACACCATAGCGAACGGTTCACCAGTATGCATATAGTGGATGTGCAATGTGGCAAATCTTAGACACGGATAACGCTAAACATTTTAACTCCCTTTGTGTATGTGTGTGAATGCAAGCTAAATTTCACTAGGTGAATGCATTGAATATAAATAATATTTTTAAATATGAGAAATGGGATTCGATTAAAATACGAAATATCTGATAAACATTTTCTTCTTGCGTTTCTGTGAGCGAACGAGCGAGTGTGCGCTCGCGCACTCAATTCTTGTTAAACCTTTAATTTTATGGGCAACAACGATTCAAGCAAATTACACTACAGTCGTAATAGAGGTAATATATTTGATATTGCGCGTCGATTGACGCCGATTATAATTGTTCACAATCACTTTGGGTGCTATATCGAATCACTGCTTTTTTTAACCCATTCACCGCGCGTTTTTTTTCTCTCTTTCGTTCACACTTTACCATATTTTTTTCTCTCCGCATATCGAAATGCCAATTCGAAATTAAGCCTCCATTGCCACAACGAATAATTCATTATACTTTATGCCTTTGTAATGATTTTGATCTTATTTTTTTTCTGTTGGTCGTCGGTCTCTGTCTCATATTCATAAATTATGAATAGGTTTATTGCTTTAAAATTGAGTGTCGAACGAGATGGCTGAAGGTGTGAAAAATGGTAGTAAATGAACTTACGAACGTGGAACACTGATTTTATGGGCATTTGAGACAGATATATCTGTTTTGAAGAAGGAGGATTCAGACATTTTCTTTCGAATTTCAACCAATTGAATAATAAATTGATACTATTTCAATGGAAAAATGGCATTTCGCCGCTTTTTTGCTTATTTTCTTCGCTATTTGCTGGTTGTGGCCTTAATTTGAGTTAAATTTATCAACGAACTTCCGTAAATTGATTCAAATGCTAACAAAAAAGTACGATTTCTCTCTCAAAGACTGAGCAAACAAACAAATTTCAATGATAGATCCAAAATTTGAAATTATTTCAAACGCTCAACAGAATAAAAATTGAGCGCCATCTCAAAAATTAGACTCATTTTTCAAGAAAAACCTGAAAAAAATCCTCCTCAACAAAAATAAATTGAGTTTAGTATAAAAAAAGTAGTTTGTTTATTAAAATAAATGAGATATAGTCAACAAAAAAGTAGCGGTACATTAAAAAAAGCTGTTGAATCAATTATAATACGGCTTCCGATCGCTGTGTGGTCCCCGACGCTGCTTAACGCAGCGACAACGTTGACAAATTTTGTAATCGCAGCCAAATATCTGAAACGTACACGCATCATTGAAATGAACGTCGCTTCACGTAGACGATATCTATCAACATCCCTTTTGCTGTGTCACATTTTAATTCATACTAATTACATCGATATGTGTCGCTGCGCATTGCCAACCAACTGAATACTTGAACATTTTTTCTGTTGTTGTTCGTGTTAGTTAACTTGTCTCGCTTTTTCGAATGTGTATTCCGACCATGTCATTAAGTTAACGACACGATTCGTCATTTACAGTGTTTTCGCTCGCTTAGCATTTGAATTTTTTTTTTTTTAAATTGACGAGCGTCAAAACTCAACTTTTCTTTCATTTAACTCGGCCTACATGTGCCGAACACATTCGGTTGTGTACACACAACACTTCACCAAGAAGAGAGAGAGAGAGAGAGAGAGAGAGAGAGAGAGAGAGAGAGAGAGAGAAACACATTTTAGCATAAAAGGATTCTTCCACTGATTTATGCAACGCTGATGAAGATAAAGGACAACTTCTAGCACGTGCTGAAAGTCTTGTGAAATTGACCAAGTTTATGCCGTCGAAAGTGGTTCATTTCCGATGATAGATTGTTAGATCTGATTAAATCTACATCAACGCTTGATTCAACAAGTCAAACGTGCACAACTTTTTATTAGCAAAATGTTTCTGATTCCATTTGCGTCACTCATCAATCATCGAAGTTTGTCTTCCGTAAACATTATATTCGCATGGAATACATAATACCACATCGATTTTGCCATTTTTCACTGCAGCCTTTTTCACTTCGAAACCAAAACGCACACCGTATTCCGTTGGTTCCTTTGGAAGATCAACAATTTTCAAAATGAAAAAAGAAAAAAACTTTAGCAATGATTTTCAGGTGAGCTTCTTATGTCATTAAAGCGGCGAAGAAAGAAAACAAAATCGTGGCATCGTTTTAAACTTTACACGTTTGCATAATTTAATTCCTATCGCTTGTTATAATCGATTTTTGCTTGTGTCTGTGTTTAACACACGATTCGCTTCTGGGACACATTCAAGGTTCAAGTGTAAATGAACCGATAATTAAGTGGTCAAGCTCGATTTTTTGGCAAACGAACGAAATTGGAATTTTGCCATTTCGAACATGCTCTCACTGGTTGTTCAGTTTCTTTTGCTCTACGGGCTGCAAAATGAATCGATCGTTATCGTAACAGTATTGAGAACATCTTTGGCCGTCATCATCACAAAGATTTCGCTTTGGCTTTGGAAACTGGATTGAACGAGAAAAGTGATAAATAAAACAATTTTTTTAGAGAAAAATAAAAAAATTTATTGAATTTTTATTGAAATAGAAGAAAAGTTTACCTACTATTTAAAGAACAAGAAATGAATTGTTTTTTTTCGAAATTCTATATTTCTAATTTTTATGGATGTATTTTTTTATTGCTTTTTATGTTTCTACTCAAAGTCCTGTTGAAATCAGGATGATACAAGATTTTTATGTGGAATTTAAACTTTTTTAAACTTTAATCCCTCAATCCAGCTGTTGATAAGGTTGTTGTGGTATAGATTTGGGTTTTGATGAAACTGAATTTCAATTCCATCTCCCATTTGTACCATCGGCTTACAGTCTGAATAGTAGTGGCATCCATTGGTTGATTTGAAATTCAAGCGGATTTCATACAAATGTTGAGGTTTGATCAATATTGGTGATGGTAAGGTCACTCGTAAGAACATACCATTGACTTCAGGATAGCGCCAATTGTTCGATGTACCTTCATAAACAATGATTGGTTGTATGTTTGAAAGATATGAAATATCCTCGCGTTCAGTGATGGTTACTTTCCCTTGTTTACCATTTAACCTAGACCAATTACCCTTGATGATTGCAGTGTGAAATTCTCCCAGTAAAAGACGATGATTCGATGAAAACGAAAGTACTTCTAGGGTGTGAATATTCTTTGCTGGGCCATATTGGCCTTCGGTTTTTCGAGAACACTGCAAAATTTCAGAATTATTCCACGCAGGGATGAGCCGAGGGATACGTTTGAATATTTTAGGCACGTACTCTTTTTTCACTATTGAAAGCGAGATATCTTCGTATTCTTCCAAAGTAAAAAGTCTTTGGAATGATAAGTATAGATCACTGAATCCTTCCAAATTCATTAGGGGAAAACGAATCAGCTTAAAACAATCGCCGAGCTGAGTTTTCAAGTTCTCTGCTTGCGTTTCGTCAAATCCATCTTCTTTGCAAGCATGTCTCGCCCATGACAAACACGCATCAAATACGTCTGTTTCCTCGCACGACAAATTCATCTCCAGTATGCGCTCCAGAGTACTTTTGTCACATCGTTTAAATGCATCGGATCCGAAAATTTCTCTTGGTGAACTGGCGATTTTTTCCTCACAGAAGTCGATTAATTCTGTGTGTTCGAAGGATATAGCAAGCTGATATCCCCAACACATGTTATCTGGAGTCAATTGGCTTCTAATAAATACGGTAGAAGCTTTGACATACTCCAGAACATCATATTTATCGGCCAAACGAACAACGGTCTCAATGTTCTTCATGGTTAGCGTCACCTCACTAAGATAAAAGAACTGAAGAAACTCCTTGAATGCACCGGCGCTCGAATCAACGATCTTCACGTTGTCTCCTTCCTTCAACGAACCAAAAAACATACCGTAGAAAACAGGACTTAATGCAGCCAAAACGTTTTTGCTGGCCGGAACCTTTTCCACTTCATCGTCGACTTTGAACACGAACCGAACGTCGGCCAAATCCTCGTTGAGATATAACTTTGCTAATACTTCTGATACAGCGCTATTCTTCAATGTGCTTGCCATTCTCAACACTTCAAATCAAATGAATAACAGAATTTAAGGGAAAATTACTGGTTATCGATCACTTTTTTTTAGTTTTTAAAGATGAGTTTTAGTGTGAATGCAGAAATTTTCTAGCAAAATAACAGTTGTTATCTAAACAAACGTTTAAATCGTAGTGAATGTTCGATTAGGATTTTCAAACATATATATTGTTGAGATTTAAAAGACTGTCAAGTGATGATGTATGTGTATGTGTATGTGTATTTGTGTACTGACTGTTAGTTAAGTAGCTTTTTTCGCCGTATGTTCTGCTACGTTCTTTTGTAGCGAAACATTAGTGATAAATGGAAGAAATGTAAATCTAGGTAGATCGCTGTAATGTAGAAGAAACTAATTACTTCGTAGATCTATTCCGAAACACACTAATTTCAAAAATGACATTTCAATATGCATCATAAACGTATTTCAGACTATAAATTAGGTCTGATTTGATTCATCATCAGATTTGAAGGAACAAACATTTTTCTTTCGTTTTAAAAATTCAGGGATTGGAGCACAATTCATTTCCAAAAACATTCGAACTTTTGGTTTGTACAGTGGTGAATAAAATCAAAACTTGAAATGTTTTTAACATTTGTTCTCTAAAAAACCTTCTCCAACTTTACACTACCTCCACTTCAATCGAAAATAATACAGGCTAAAACGGTCAAATATTTTGAATAAGAGCTCCATCGTAATGGCAACTAAATGCGAGTGGGGGCGTAAGTAAATAGTGTAGAAAAACTTCTTAAATGGGGATGTTTCTTTATTAAGGTCCAATATACAAAATTTTCATTCGCGATTTACATTTTATTAAACTTTAGCCCCTCAATCCAGCCACGGATAAGGTTGTTGTAGCTAAGATTTGGGTTTCGATGAAACTGAATTTTAATTCCATCTCCCATTTCTACCATCGGCTTACAGTCTGAATAGTAGTAGCATCCATTGTTTGATTCGAAATTCAAGCGAATTTCATACAAATGTTGAGGTTTGATCATTATTGGTGATGTTAAGTTCACTCGTAGGTAGCTGCCACAGCCTACAGAATAGTCCCAATTGTTCGAAGTACCTTCATGAATAACGACTATGTTTGAAAGAAATGAAATATCCTCGCGTTCAGTAACAATTACTTTCACCTCAGTATCGAATAAGCTTGACAACTTACTATAGGTAAGTGCAGTGTAGAATCCTTTCAGTAGAAGACGATGATTCGATGAAAACGAAAGTACTTCTACGGTGTGAATATCCTTTGCAGATATCCTAGAGCCTTGGGTTTTTCGAGAACATAATAAAATTTCAGATTTCCATGCAGGAATTAGTCGAGGGATACGTTTGAATATTTTAGGCACATATTCTTTTCTCATTAATGAAAGCGTGATATCTTCATACTCTTCCAAAGTGAATAGTCCTTTGAATGATAAGTATCGATTACTGAATCCTTCCAAATTCATTTCGGGAAAACGAATCAGCTTAAAACAATCACCAAGCTGAGTTTTCAAGTTTTCTGCTTGCGTTTCGTCCAAACCATCTTCTTTGCAAGCATGTCTCGCCCATGACAAACACGCATCAAATACGTCTGTTTCCTCGCACGACAAATTCATCTCCAGGATACGCTCTAGAATGCTTATGTCACATCGTTTAAATACATCGGATCCGAAAATTTCTCTTGGTGAACTGGCGATTTTTTCCTCACAGAAGTCGATTAATTCTGTATTTTCGAGGGATGTAGCAAGCTGATATCCCCAACACATGTTATCTGGAGTCAATTGGCTTCTAATAAATACGGTAGAAGCTTTGAAATACTCCAGAACATCATATTTATCGGCCAAACGAACAACGGTCTCGATGTTCTTCATGGTTAGCGTCACCTCACTAAGATAAAAGAACTGAAGAAACTCCTTGAATGCACCGGCGCTCGAATCAACGATTTCCACCTTGTCCCCTTCCTTCAATGAACCAAAAAACATACGGTAGAAAACTGGACTTAATGCAGCCAAAACGTTTTTGCTGGCCGGAACCTTTTCCACTTCATCGTCGACTTTGAACACGAACCGAACGTCGGCCAAATCCTCGTTGAGATATAACTTTGCAAATACTTCTGATGCAGCGCTATTCTTCAATGTGCATGCCATTTTCAACACTTCAAATCAAATGAACAACAGAATTTAAGGGAAAATAACTGGTTATCGATCACTTTTTTTCTAGTTTTTAAAGATGAGTTTTAGTGTGAATGCAGAAATGATAGTTGTTATTCGCACAAGTTGTTCGCACACGATTGTCAAAAATGTATTGTTGATTTGTAGAGCAGCTAACACTTATTTAAACGAATATCAAGTAACAGTGTGTTTGTAGTTGTGTACCGACTGTTTACTAATTACCTTCATTTCGCCGTACATTCTGCTACGTTCTTTCGGTGTGAAACAGAGTGGAAAATTGATGATCCGTATACAAATCTACTACAATCACCACAATGTTTAAGTAACTCATTGAAGTTTGGGAAAATGACTGCATGTATGATAGGCGTTTGGTTAGATTGAACTTATGGAGCCTCCATTGATATTTTGCAGACCACTATTTTGGCGCTCGAATCGTTTTGAAGATTTTCCTCAAGTAATGATAGCATTGCATCATGCCTTTACTTAGGTTTATAATTGCCTCTATCAGATAAAGTTTATCTGTTATCAAATTGATCAAATTTTTAATTCAAAATCTCTTTTATTCATGTGTTGCCTAAAACCTTACTAACCAAAACAAATGACAAAAACGAATAATAATAGCTCGCACCTGTATTCGATGTAAGCTCACAAAAGCATGTGTCATAGAGTGAATTCCGATTTTTGTGGAAAACACACGTCAAACGGGGCAAAAAAAGGTGAAATAAATCTAAATGCAATGTCCAAAACCACTTGAACTGTGTAACCTTTATGGTAACGAAAGCGCGGAGATCGGGAAATGAGATGAGCACAGGTAATGTAGACATTGTGGTCATGCTCGCCGATTCGCAGTCATCAAATAAAAAAGCAATTCTAATACGTGTGAATGAGAATTCCATTTCTTTTGTGTTTGGGAACATTTTGCGCTTTTCACTTTTTTTCATTCTCTCACTTTTTTGTGTCGCAGTTCCTAAACGAAACGCATATTTGGAATTGTTTTCACGCGCGCCCAATAAAAACGACGAACAAAAAGTGCGGCAAAATTACAACAAAAAACAAAAAAAGAAATGAGTGTGTGTGCGCGCTGGATGAAGACAACGAACAAGGCTCGTCGAGAAAAAAAAATGGAAGAACTCGGTTGAGAAAAAGAGCGCTGAATTTATTGAGTTGTCTGCGAAACATTTGTATAATGCACACCGAATAATTTATTGTCGCGCGAAAATTGCTCGGCTTCATTTTCGAGATTTCGCGCGTTGCACATGAAAACGATGAAAGCAAAGTAACGCAAGAAAAAAAAATGTGTTGATCTTAGCGCGAACACGTAACCGTCGTGCGGTTAACCATAAATGGTGTATTTTATGTATGTGAATGTAATAGATTCTTATTGTATGCGCATGAATTCTCTTTTTTTATCTCGTCCATTTCGGCTTTCCATGTTCATTTTTTCCGCTTGTTCGGCTGATTCACGTGTTCTGGTGTCTCGTTGTCTGCCACCTATGGTTGCTGACCATTGCAATATTGTGATTCGAATGAGTTAACAGGAAGAATGCGTGTGTGTGTGTGTCTCACTAGAGGAAAAAAAATGTATTCGTCCGAAGAATGTGACAAAGTGTTTTCACGAACCATTTTTTGTTCGGTTGCTGTTGAGAAAATCACAAAGTTAACATTCGGGTGAATCATCATCGTTCAGAATTCAAAAGTGTTAATGACGAGCGAATATGAAACATTTTCATAAGTTGTTATATTTCGATTGTTCACATTGTTTGTTTGTGGATTTGTAGTACAGCAATCATCAGACTGTATCACGGCGAGAGAGAGTGAGAATGTATGCACAATTACAGTTGCAGTCGTTGAGCGAACAATAGGGAAATCGGAAATCAGGTACCGGTCGTAACATTCTCCGTACAGTCACCCAAACTGATGCACATTTGCATTGTACTCAAATGCCGTGGCACATACATATACTCTGGGTGTTCATGTTAAGCACATTCATTAGGGGTTGAATTTTGGTTATTCCTCGACTCTATTCATCTCGCACCAATGTCAACGTGACCCTTCGCATTTATTTTTTGTCACTCGTTCTCACTCTCGATCTCTTCAAATAAATCGTTTGTTATTTTATTTTGCTAATCTTTCGACAGCGCATTAGAAAAATCACAACTGAATTGAGGGTTATGCGCTCGTAAAACGGCTACATCATACAATGATTCATTGTCAATGAAAATGCGTTTTTTTTTCTCTCTCTCAATGTTGTCACTCTTTATGCAATTTTTATAGTCTGCGATATGTTCCATATTGTTCACTTCACTTAGAATCCAATTCGCTGTTGAAGGGACTTCATCGAGCAATTGGACCATAAAAACTTTTGCTAAATATCGAATTTCAAGCATTCATAACCGAAAACCCCTCACTACTCAAATGAACAATTTCTACAATTAAAAAAAAAAAAAATTGTTTCATTTCACTTTCAGTTTCAATTGCAATTGCGTCGAGAATGATTGTACGCTTACGCTCGAAGTGAGCTCGAAGTTAATTTCCTGTGATGCCGAAATACAATGGTTTGCAGCACGCGTTAGTGGTTTCGTTTATGATTAGCCTTTTTTTGGGTGTTTCTTTCCTACTATTCAAGCCTAATACCGCCTAACCATGGACTCAATAACAACTTATAGCAGGGATTTATTTACATATGTCATTGATATCCTCGTGGGAGTGTAACTGAACTGAATGTGAGACAGAGAGACCAACTCTCCTCTTCCACTTTAAACACGCATTATAATATGATTTAGATGCGATTTGACTTTTTTCTACTCTGTCAATGCACAATTTCGAAAATGTGATTAAGATTATGGTTGGTGAAGAATCATAACGACTATAAAGTCCCCGATGAGAACGTTGAGCGAGAGAGAAAACAAGACTAGTTTTTGTCATGACGCAATTCGGAAGGGTCACGTTTAGCTCGTACCATTGTAAACAGGCTTAACATAACCGATCCAGCGGGATTGGATGCAGTGTACCTGCTTCTATGGATTGCACCACGTCACACACACACACACACACACACACACACACACACACACAGACGCGTGTGAATCGCAGAGCGTGTGAGCGTGGCGACAAATCAACGATGAAACATTCAAAAAGTCATCAAGTCATTTAACCTAATTCTATTTCATGTCAAAGACTTATATCATTTGGTGTTGTGATTGGAACTAATATATGGATTATAACGGGCGGTCTCGAGATTTTTTTTTTCATTCTTTCTTGAATATATTTAATAAGACATTTTTGCTCAATTTGGAAAAAAGTTTTGATCAAATGTTATCGCAATTGAAGGGAAAAAATAAAATTGTGTTGAATTTTAATATTGAAACGATCGATTTAACCAACACGTTTAGTTTGTCAATATTAAAATGTTGCATATTTCGCGTTAAATATTTGGTGCATATTTCATCCGTTTTGTTGAACATTTGACTTCCTAGCATCTCGAACTTAATGGCCTGCAAATATTTCAATCTTTTTATTGACTTGCACTTTTTATCGCAAACGATATGATAAGATGTCGAATGTAGAAGGTAGTATAAACAACATTGTATTCCCATCAGCAGTTCCAAGGAGTCTCTCTTTCTCTCGCCACAACGTCAATGTATCGATTTATTCTCTCAGTCATCATTGATGTGTATGTGCCGTTCAATGGATTGTCGCGGCGCTCTTCATCACGAGCCAGAATGTGAAGAAGGTGATAAATCCGATTTATGGAAATTACTTTTTCGATTTAGATTACAAACATGACTTGATATAAATGCGCTTATACGGTCGTCGCTTTGTGTGAGTGTGTGTGTGTGTATGTCGGAGCTGAGAGATGGTTTGCCGGAATGGGGTTGGCATAATGTCGCGTATTATATAGCCTGACACACGAGGTCACACGTGTATTTAGTATTTTCAAAAGCACATAATCTATCCACAATACCAGCCGAACAGCCATTCACTCGGTGTGGTGGTGCGCTGGTGCTGATGGTGGTGAATATTCCTTTTTCACACTCACTCGCTCGCTGTCTCTTTCTCCGCTTTGTGAGCGCTGACTTTAAACGTTTCGACTATGATACATCGATCGTCTCGCTTTTGATGTTTGTTGCAATGCACATTAATCTTCACAACTTTTAATGGCGCAAATACTTGGCACACTTCTCATCTTAAGGCCATAAATCCGAAAAGTAAATTATCACCACGGCAAAATGCAACGTGGCGAACATAATGTGTTGCAAATGATTGAATTTTCACAGTCGAACAGCCCAGTTCAATTCGCTTCATTTCCCGTCGTTCTCATAATTTCTTCGTCGTTTTTTTTCTGCTTGCACTTTTCTGTTCTAGGCCTTGTGCAGACTGAAAAATAATCTTGGTGAAAGAATCTGGCGAAAAACACAAAAATGTTTTAAACAATGGACAAAAATTAAATAAATGATTTTTCGTGGCTGAGAATCGTGACGCCAATAAATAATAATCCTTTGCTCGCGGGAGAAACCGAAAAAATGCACATCAATCGAAAAGAAATTAATCAGAATTTTATGTTGTGCTGTGTTTGTGTGTCTGTTGTCATGTCGCATCAAGCGAATTGATTTTGAAGTCAATCAACGTCACTTTTAGAAGAACCATATAAAGGAACTAACTTAAATGAGCGCACACGTCACAGAACAACAACAACAACAACAATAGCAACGAAAGAGAGCAGTTCACTTTGATTCTTTGTGAAGCGCCCTACATTCATTGAGTTGCTCATCATTTGTGCTGTATCCTTCGACTAAATACTTTTCGATTAACTTTGGCTATGCACCCGCACGGCTTTAGCTTCCATTCGAAAACATTCACACCGAATGGAATGCTGAGAGCAAGAGACAAATCGAGGAGCAGAGAAAATGAGCACGCGCCACAAATCATGAATTGAATGCAGCACAAATCATATGCTACCGATCCACTGATTTGGA